ACAAAATGCAAATACTATTATTAAAATTCAAAAACAAATTCCTCAATTTCTTACACGACAAATGCGAAAAGACTTTTCAGCAAAGGTATTATTATTAATTTAATAAATTAGTTTAATATTATTTATATAGTATATTAAATTTATTTTTAATCTTTTTTAAAGTATTCTTTAGTATCTAAAATAACTCCAGCTATAATGCGTTATATGTATCATGATATTTTAGGAGATGCAAGTGCTGCAACTAATAGTCGAACTTCAGAAACTGACAAATGTGTTAAAATAATGATGGATATTAGAGATCCAGAAATTATTATTAATTTTAGATGAAACAATGGCTTTAAAGGAACCAAATTTAATGAATTTTGGGCTGAATTAAAAAATTATTTTGAGGAAAATATGCCAGCAGTACATGAACAACGTAGTACTAATATTTTATATTTGCCTTCATTTATTTCAGTTCGTGACCTTAGAGAATCAATAGTTAAGCGTTTAGAAAATTGATATAATTAACATCCACTTAGTAATAAATATTTAATTCCTTCAGATAGATAGATAGCATTTCAATTTTATCCTAAAAATTCTTGGTATAAATCAAGTGCACAATATACAAGAAGATTTCAAATTAAATATATGATACAAACACGACAATTACGAAAAAACCATATAGATGAACATTATTGTAGAACAATTTTTAAATATATTCGAATATTTGCTACTAAATATAAACAACATACATGTTTAATTTTTGCAGATGATAAACATAAAATACCAATTGGTGAACATATTCCAGCAAGTACAAGTATACGAAATAGAAAAACAGCAGCACCAATAAATATGGAACTTTCAGCATCAGATCATGATTATACAAAGTTATCAATAACTCCTTCAGTTTCTTTATTTGTAAAAATACCTAATAATTCAACAGATTCTTTTTACAATGGACAAGTTTATGTTACTTATAAAGATACTATATTTCAATCAAGTTTAGCACTTCGACATGCAACTGAATTTTTTGATACGATTTAAAAACATTATGAATTTATTCCAGAAATTTTAATTTTATATACTGATGGTGGACCTGATCATAGATGTAATTTTGGTTCTGTTCAAGTTTCTTTAATTTGTTTGTTTCTTCAAGGTGATTTTGATTTATTAGTTGCAGCACGTACTATACCATATCACAGTTAGGCTAATCCTGTTTAAAGAATTATGTCTATTCTTAACCTTGGTTTTCAAGGTATTGCATTACAGCGTTCAAATATGCCTACCTCTGAAGATATATTTGAAAAGTTAAAAACTTTAGATGCAATACGAACTTATGCTGAAAAGAATTCAATTTTAAAAAATGAATTGCAAAATTCATTAACAGATATTCAAAATATTTTATTTGATAGAACACGGCAACTTAAATTAAATGATAATTATTTTGAAATTAACGAACCAGTTATAGATTATGAAATTGATGAATTTTTTAAGGTTTAAATTATTTTAATATTTATTTTTTAATTTTATAAAAAATTTAAATATTTATTTAATATAATATTTTTGTAGGCTATATCTATTATTGATAATGGATTAACGAAAAATATGACAACAGCAAATCAACTTAAAAAAAGGCATACTTATCAAGAACTTATAAAAAATCATTATCAAATTCGAAATTATATGTTTCAAGTAAATAAAAAATAAATTATTTTTAAATTAAATATTATTTCTAATTTATTAAAATATTCATTATTATTTTATAATAAGATTATGAAATGTAATAGTATTGACTGTAATATTTGTAAATGCCCACAGCTATCTTATGAAAAATTTGAAAGTTTATTCTATATTCCAGATCCAGAACCTTCACTTACTGGTAAATTTATTCATTATATTATGTTTAGTATATAATTTTTTAACTATAGTTTAAATTAAATATAATATTACTTATTAGATAAAGATTATTATCAAGAATTTGATTTGTTATATGGTACTCAGACAACTGAAAACTATCGACCTTCAGCTATGAATAAATTACAATTTAAAGAATCGGATGACAAAAAAATAGGCCAATTTAATAATAACAAAATTCAAAAACTTATTGCTTGTGATCATTGTAGAAAATATCGATGTATTTATAGCGATAATGCATTATCAGAAGAAGAAAATGAAAACCTTCAAATTGCAATTGATTTATCTTCTTATACATGTGGGTCACCAATTATATCTGAAGACAATGAATTAAGCAGCTATATATGTGTAAGATTAAATTTGACATGTGATTCACCAATTGAACAAACATATTACTCTTGGCACAATAAGAAATTTGATATTTGTTTTTGGTGCGGAGAATTAGAGGATCTTATTTATGCAACTGATAAAATTAAAAAAGCTTGGAAAACTATATATCGTTTATGTTTGAATTGTCAATCTAATGGAAAAACATGGCATAAAAGATCACCAATTAAATTTGTACCATTGAATGCTAATAATACAAATATTAGTTAAAGGAATGTATTAAATATAGAAAAATAAACTTTAAAAAAACTTTAAACTTTTTTATATATATTTAAAATATAGAAAAAAATATTATTTTGATAAATAAATATAAATATTATGAAATATAACTAACTAATAAAATCATTGATTATTTTTATTAGTGGTTATTTTTGTCCCCCAGTCCCCACTATGAAAAAAATTAAAAAATAATGTTAAACTAAACTTTAATTTCAAACGGCCTAATGATATGAGAAGATTTAAAGAAATTTAAAGTAGATAATTTTATTTAAGATTAAGATGGCTTTAGGTAATCGTACACATCTGACAATAATACCACCTAAAACTGCAAAATTATAGGGACAGGCTTTTAAAGTTTTTTTTTTTTTTAAATGTAAAATGATATATTTACGAGCAGGATTTTTCACTAACATCAACTTAAAAAATAAATTAAAGATTTTCTAAATAAAAGATAAAATTACCTCATAGATATAAAACATAAGTGCAAAAAATGTAATGTTCTTGAACTTTTTATTAGCTATTATTGATTATTTGTTCTAGTGAAAGATAGAATTAATATTATTATTTGTACCAGAGTAAGCACCAAGATTATAGTAGCAGAGATATTGACAATTCTTATCCACACATTTCTACCTGAAATTATATATAATTGTAAAAGAGTATTGCTCTGCAATGCTCTCACGGTTTCTACGAGACTTTTAACTTGCATCGAACTACTATAAGTTGAATTATAATGACCTACTTCAGAAATTTTGCACATAATTTCTTGAAATCGAGTAAAGTTCATCGGTCCACCATAAATCATACCAAGTTAATAAGCAAGATAAAAATCTTCCTTGTTTTTAATTGCTCCTGTATAAAAGCATGTCACAGTACCAACTATTAGTTCACAGTTTGATCTTACTTCAAGCATTACAAGATTCCACAAAGTTTCAATCCAATATGGATGTATGTAAAGTTTAGTGATTAACAACGTACCATTTTTATAATTGAATATTAGTTCGCGACTATCTCGAACTTTGAATTTAATGGTATTGGTATGCATTTCTATCAAACTTGGTAGAGTAGCTGGATCAAACTGATCAAAAGCACTCTGTTTAATCATATCATCGCCCCCTAAGTTTCGATAAATCAGCTGAATGAAAGATATACTTCCATCTAACTGTGTCATTTCAAATGTCATATTATTACCACCGAAGGGAGTTAAGTTAGTCACGATAGAATTTATCATTATATTAAATATGTTAATCGCATTATAATTTATAAAGTTATTAAATATTTCGTCCTCATCCTTTTCAATTCTTCTATTATATTCTTTTATAAAACTAGTATCAATTAGAAAATTCAATTGCTCGACTATTTGTGATAATCTAACTTGATTACCAGCCCTAGAAAATATTCCTGCATTTAATACTGATGTATTAATACCAGATAATTTATATGGTCTCAAGTTAATCATTCTATATTTTTTTGAATGAAGAATTTCAGTGGAAAATACGGCAAATAATTTTGCTAGTTTACCTATATCCAGCAATAAAGAGGCAATTATTGGGTCTTTTGACATATCTTCTTCATTATTGTCTGTATTATTATTATTGTCAATAATATCAATAATATGTACCTCAAATATTTTTGATATCCTAATTTTAATATTACAAAGATATTTTTCAAGTTTATTTAATTCTTTATAATTATGTATATGATTACATGTTAACTTTCGTATATCGACTACGTCATACTTGTTTTTAACAAAAAATGGTGAAAGGTCAAAAGTAAAATCCCCAAAAATTTTTTCTTCAAAAGTTTCTTTAAATATGTCATCATCATCCATTTATCATAAATATAATATTTTTTTTTTTGGTTTGATAAAAGATGTTAGATGAGTCTTTCGCATAGCCTTTCTACAAATAAAGTTAGTATTACTCAGTAAGGCTTATTATGTAAACACAAATAATTCATAGTATATTACCTTCACACACTATTAAAATTTTATTACAGTATTATAAGATATATATTTGCTTTTCAGTTATTAATTGAAATATTTCTCATACTAGTATTAACATTTATGACGTTAAATGTTAAAGGAAAATATCATTTTATTAAAAATAATCTATTCGCATCTCATTTATTAGTGTTAGAGTATGTAGACCATCCTTCAATGACTTAGACTACAAGCCTCTGTTTCATCAATATAATGAGTCACAATTATAATGATATAAATAGAAGTTTAGTTAATGTATATTTGCAGTTTTGATCATGTAAAGGTCGATTATAAGTAGTTAAAATACTTTTTTTTCAACTTAATCTAATGGATTTGTATTTATTATTTTTTATTTCTTCTATATGCGTGGAATTTTATATTAGACAATAATATAATTTGTTTCAATTTTCAAATTATTATAATTTTTTAACATGAAAGGTTTAAAAAAAAAAAACTTTATTAATCTATTTTAATATCGATATCGCTTGTTGTTATATACGTAAGGCAAATATATTTTAGTAAGACAAGCTCTTTTTAATTAAGTCACTTTGTGAGGTTATCCAAGCAAATAATTTTTTTATGTAGAGAAAAGAAGCATCAAATACTTTTTATGTAAAGAAAAGAAGTATCAAATACAAACAATATATGTGTAAAGTAATATATTTCTAGTAAGGCACCTTTTTCCGTTAGGTCCCTTTGTGAGGTCATCCAAGCAAATTGTTTTTTGATGTAGTTTTGTGCCTATACTGTATGTGTATGCTTCTAACCAATTTTTGTTGTCAAAAAATTATAGCATAACTGATATCTTTAGTGTACAACTTTGTTCAATTGATATGTACGAGCGAGGCCACTAGAAATAAGGCCTAACGAAGTTTCTAATTAAGGTCTACTGATTCTGAAGGAGGGATTAGATAAGCTACACTTGTCATGATGAAAATTTTTTTACTTAATGAACTAATTTAAATTATTTATATTTAATTTCCCGAATTAAAGTCAAAGAAAAACTTTTATTCATATTGAAATGATAAGCATTTGTGCCACTATAGTTTTTAGACAAAATCATTTTTATGAAATGACAAAAGACGAAACCTAATATCTTAAATGACAAAACCCTTGACGAAAGATGAAAACCTCTGGCAAAACCGAAAAACCTGACAAAACCGTGAAACTCTGACAAAACTGCAAAACTGCAAACCTCCTGACGAACGGTAAAGCCTCTAAACGATAGTAAAATCTGACAGAGACAAGTCTCTGCAAAAACACAACCTCTGGTGAAAGACTCTATAGTTTGTAGCTAATTCATTTATTCCTCTATAATGCTCTGACAGAGACAAGTCTCTGCAAAAACACAACCTCTGGTGAAAGACTCTATAGTTTGTAGTGTGAAACGTGAAAATTACTCCGGAAGGCACGTGAGGGTCGGAGGTCAGGGTGCTGCAATATCTGCATGCGGGTATG